ACCCCCCCACCCTTAAAAGCTCCCAGGGGATTCTAATATGTAACCAAGGATGCCACCTACTATAAAAGATTCAGATGGTTTCGGTCATACCATAGGATTTCATTTCTTTGTCCAAATATGGGAATAGGGAGAAATCACATCCCTGAAAGACGTGTTTCAACAGTTTCCTGGGGCTGCTGTGACAAATCACCACAAACTGGGTGGCTTCAAACAACAGAAATATGTTCTCTTGGGATTCTGGAGTCTGGAAGGCTGAAGTTAGTGTCCACAGGGACATGCTCCCTCTGAAGGTTCTGGAAAGAACTCTTCTCTGCCCCCTCTGGCTTTGGCTGGTTGCATCAGTCCTTGGAGCTCCTTGGCTTGTAGGTGGCTCATGCCAGTCTCTGTCTCTGTTATCACATGGCCTTCTTCTCCTTGTGTATCTGTTTCCTGTGTTTCTTTGTATCTGCCTGCTTGTGAAAGAATAGAAAGTATGTACATTGGTCTCTGCCCCCATGGTTCCCAGCACAGAGCTCCTAAAACCCGTGGAATTTCCTAAGTCATTAAAGTACTAGCGGCATTTTTTGTTTAGATAGTTGGTCTTTGACCTGTCCCGGACACAGGGCTCCTAAAACCCTTGGAATTTCCTGAGAAGTAGGAGTGTCTTTTGTTCTGATGAGGGAGCTCTGGGTGGGCTCCTGGATGGAGGCTGGTTCACCAATCTGGAAGCTGTCCAAACCTCATGGGGTTGGGATTTTTTTGGAGGCTTCCTCACGTAGGCCTGAGCTTGTCCACGTGCCAGGAAGGCGAGGCGCCACTATTCCATGGGAACAGGGCACCCGTGCTGGGACCCTCCCGGACTTCGCCTGTGTATCTCATCATCTGAAGGTTCATCTATATCCTTTGTCGTATCTTTTATTATACAGTAAACTGGTGAACATAAATAGGTGTTTTCCTGAGTCCTAAGAGCCGTTCTAGCAAATAACTGGATCCAAAGGTCTTGGGAACCTCCGATCAGACAGACGTTGTAGGAACCTGGAGACCTGTGACATTTGGTTGGCATCCGAGGTGGGACCCTCCCATGGGCCTGAGCCTTCAACCTGTGGGGTCTGCACCGTCATGTTCAGTTGTGTCTGACTCTTCGTGACCCCATGGACTGTAGCCCCCCAGGCTCCTCTGTCCATGAAGTCTCTAGGCAAGAATTCTGGAGTGGGGTCCCATTTCCTCCTCCAGGGGATCTTCCTGACCCAGGGATGGAACCGGAGTCTCGGGGTCTTCTGCATTGGCAGGTGGATCCTTTACCACTGATCCACCTGTGAAGCCCGGGGTCTGCTCTGTCTCCTAACAGTTAGCCCAGCACTGAATTGTTGGACACCCAGCTGGTGTCTCAGAATTGCTTGGTGTGGGGGAAGGACTCCACACATCTGGTGTCAGAGGTGTTGTTAGTGGGGTAATGGTTTGAAAAGAGGAGGAACACACACGGGGGAAGAGTGAGTTTTTTCTGTTCACTGCTCTATTTATAAGAACCCAGTCTAACGCATCTTAACTAGTCACATATGCATAGACCTTACTTCCGAATGAGTTCATATCCTGAGGTTTCTGATAGACATGGACTTGGCCGGGGGGGGGGGGTGGGGAATGCTACCAAACCCAGTACAAGCTGAAGATCAAGCACCATTATATTCTTAAGAATGCTTGAGTCTCTGGGAATGGCAAACGTGAAATTCTGTGCTTTCTGGATCTGATATTTTAAAAATATATCTTTAAATTTCTTAAATTCACCCTCCCCCATCAGAAAAAAGGCATCCAGTCCTAGTAGGCGTATAACTAAAATATAGAAAGATCTGTTTTTGTGTCTGGGTCCCTTTGACATTTTCAGGAAGACAGAAAACCCAACAGGCGGAGCTTGTGTGTGCAAGGTGTGTTAAGGGTGCACAGCAGTCTGTGGAAAAGGTAGCCTATTCCCAATGGGGGATTTTTTTTTTGTGGGGAGAAACAAAACAGTTCTGATCTGTCTTCGGTAAACTGACAAATTTACAGCACCTTTTAAGGCATAAAAGAGCTATTTGCCTTCTCTTCAAATTTGGTTCTGGAGACGTTATGTATTGAAGCAACTAAAGTTTGGAGTTTTGTTCTGAGATCATTGTTTTAGTCAACCATTTCCTTTCTTTTTGTATTGTGAAACCTTGATGACAATTTGAAAGTAAAGTACAGTCATTGAAAACCTGACAATTTGATTCCTTAAAGGACATTAATAGGTCAAAATTGTATATGCCACCCCCGCCCCACCCCCCCCACTAACTTGGAAGTAAATGCCTACTACCAGTAGCACCATTGTTTTCTTATATTCTTGCTTTCTGTTGAGACGACCAGCTACCATTTACACTTGATCCTTGAACAGCACAAGTTTGAACATCAGGAGTTCGCTTATATGCAGATTTTCTTCAATAAATACCTAGCCGTCTGGTATTTGCATTCCTGGGTTTCTGCATCTGTGGGTTTAACCAACTGCAGGTCAGATTTTGCATCCACAAATGGTTGAATCCGTGGATGCCAAACCTATGGATGTAGAGGCAGAGTGTTCTGGGCCAGTTTATGAGAAGGACTTGGGCATCTGTGGATGGTGGCCTCTGGGGTGGGGAGGGAGGGTTCTCAGAAGCATCTCCTGTCCCCTACCCCAGATACCGAGAGAGGACTGTTATTTCCATCTCCAGTTGATCCTGCTTGTCAGGATATATAACATTTTAACAAAGTCATTATTTTCATTTTAGAATTGACAGAAAGGATTTGGTTATTAAAAGTGGTGAATTTCCCTCTGAGATTGTCACTGGAACTTGCCCCTTGCCCCCCGTCATGAGTACCATCAGAAGCTTTTTCTTATTTGTGATGCTTCTCTTAACCCTGGGCAGGGTGATGTAGACAGAAATGACTCATAGGTGGGTAATTTACCCAGGATAAACACGATAATTGGTACAGAATCCAATTATTGGACTACGTTTTGAAAAAAACAAAACTCTGTGAGTCTATAAAACCTCAATAGCAACATTTAGGCAATTTCGTAAATAATAAATCTCCATTCCCACTTGGAGAAAAATCCTAGCCTTTCTGTCTCAATTTAACCTCCTGTAAAAAGATTACAGTTGGATCTAACTTGTATTCAACTGAGTCCTTAGGCAAAAACTGAAGGAAATCAACAATTTCTTCTTCAATAAGTGCCACAAAATCGAATTCTCAAAGACTCACCAGATGATGGCATTAGGTCGTCTACCAGATGTGTGATGCCAGCAAACTGTGAGGATTGGTTTTGTGTTCTGGTACCTGGCAAGGCGTTTGATGGCCATTTGCATTGGGAGGATGGAGATGCTATTGTCATGGACCACTCCAACTTCTTGATACTGTCCAGCTCTCTATTTAATGTACATCATTAAGAGTAACCATAAATACCTAATATGCCACGACTTGTTGTGGAGTTTCACATTGCCCTCCCATTTAAGAATGGTATCATGTCAGGGCTACAGAGTTCTTTTTCTGTGCCCCTCAAAGTCCTGGAGCAAGCGCCTGTTCACTCCATAGAGAAATAATTAGCCAATGTAAAATGTGATGGTTTCCCTGGTGGTTCAGAAACAGCAGGGAATTTGCCTGCAGAGCAGGAGACCTGGGTTTGATCCTTGGGTCAGGAAGATCTCCTGGAGGAGGGCATGGCAACCCACTCTAGTATTCTTGCCTGGAGAATTCCATGGACAGAGGAGCCTGGTAGGCTACAGTCTGTGGGCTTGCAAAGAGTCCAGTTCAACTGAGTGAGAACACTTTCACTTTCAATATGTAATAAAAAATGCAGTAAAAATTACTTGTGTAGCTTTTTGTTCAGTAAGTTCGGCAGAGACTTATGTACTGGACTGGAGAAACAGCTTTACATGTCTAAGATGTGACTTCTTGATTCTTTGGGATTGTCAACAGAGCATTGAGTTTATCACAGATGCATGTGCACACACCTCTAGATACGCTCACACAGAGTGGTTAGAAAACACACACAAACATGAGTGGGTTTGAATTTGGCTGATTCCACCCAGCTCAAAGTTATGAAAGAGATGTTGAGGCCCAGGGAAGTCATTCTAGCTTATGCATGATTTAACTTGAACTTATAGTCAAGTTATGGTTTTTCCAGTAGTCATGCATGGATGTGAGAGTTGGACCATATAGAAGGCTGAGTGCCAAAGAATTGATGCTTTCGAACTGGTGTTGGAGAAGACGCTTGAGAGTCCCTTGGACTGCAAGGAGATCAAACTGGTCAATCATAAGGAAATTAGTCCTGAATATTCATTGGAAGGACTGATGCTGAAGCTGAAACTCCAATACTTTGGACATCTGATGCCAAGAACTGACTCATTGGAAAAGACCCTGATGCTGGGAAAAATTGAGGGCAGGAGCAGAAGAGGGTGTCAGAAGATGAGATGGTTGAATGGCATCATCGACTCAATGGACATGAGTTTGAGCAAACTCCTGGAGATAGTGAAGGGCTGGGAAGCCGGATGTGCTGCAGTTCATAGGGTCACAGAGAGTAGGACACGACTGAACAACAACGACTAAACTTGAATTTTCTGCTAGCTAAAACAGACAGTTTGTGGCCTATCAGATGTTTACTGTACATCTGCTTTCATCCTTGAAGAAGAGAGTGTGTTGAGCAGATGTAGAGATTGTCCATGTTAAAAATGAAGACGCTAACGCTGGTCCTTCAGTGATTGGACTCTTCCCAGGAGCCAAGGCCGTGCTGACTCCCTGTGCACGTGCTGATCCAGTTTTGTGTTTCGAAACCTTGAAGGCATGTATCCCTGACTCGTTCCATGTTCTCTGTTCTGACAAGAATAAAGCTGAGCTGAAAACTGCGCTTCTCCAGAGCAGCTCCTCTGAGTTATCTAGGGGCTGTCAGCAAGTCTCACTTATCTGAGCACTCTCTCAAAGTTGAGTCCTCAGTTTGGCTCCAGCAAAAATCTTTTCTGTTCTGATCTCGACACCTGATTTAGAGCGTGCAGATAGATGACCCCGGGCAGCAGCTGGAGCAGGCGGCCGTCTGGGCCTGACCCTGGGGGACTCTGCACAGCACCTGCTTTGAGCACAGAGAGGCTGGCCCCAAAGATGCTAGTCCACGAGAGCCTGGCCGTCCCGGCCCTCCTAACTGTGAAAAATAACATCCTGTGGCGTTGAGTGTCACAGGTAAACTGTGACAGATAAGCCAGTGACGGCTTTAAAACATGCTGCCTTTGGAGGTGAATTGCTGTGAGACGTGCAGACTGGTGAGGTGTGGGGACAGCTGTGGCCGGAGGGCATTCACTTGCAGGCAAACTGGCTTCCACTGTGCCCTGGCTTGATGGCAGTTTCAAAAACCACTTCTTTAATTTGTTTTCTCTGCAACTCATGGCGCTGGGACAGGGGCGTGACTGGCACTTATGCTGGACCGTCACATTCCCTGTCCTGTCGCCCTTTGGCAGGACAGCTTGTGGGCTCGTTTTGAACCCCAGACCCTCCCTCCCGGCCCTGCCCATGGTATCAGACTGTGAGCTGTGGGTGGTAGTCTCCTCTCCCAGGAAAACTTGAGGATCCTCAAGAGGGGGTCCCATCACTTTGCTAGAACTGGCCTTCCCGACCTTCCTTTGTTTGAGTGACATCTTGGGGTGTTTTTGAATCAAAGTCGAATCAAAGGGGCTTGCAAAATTAATTTTTAAAATTTACTTATAAAATACAGTAAGTCCCCTGTTGCTGCTGCTGCTGCTGCTAAGTCACTTCGTCGAGTCCGACTCTATGCGATCCCATAGACGGCAGCCCACGAGGCTCCCCTGTCCCTGGGATTCTCCAGGCAAGAACACTGGAGTGGGTTGCCATTTCCTTCTCCAATGCATGAAAGTGAAAAGTGAAAGTAAAGTCGTTCAGTCATGTCCAACTCTTCGTGACCCCATGGATGGCAGCCTACCAGGCTCCTCCGTCCATGGGATTCTCCAGGCAAGAGCACCAGAGTGGGTTGCCATTACCTTCTCCAGTAAGTCCCCTAAATACGAACAAATTCTGTTTTGAGAGAACATTCATGAGTCCAATTTGTTTGTAAGTCTAACCAAGTTAGCCTAAGTACCTAATTAACACAGTCGGCTATATAGTACTGTGCTGTAATAGGTTTATAATACTTTGAATACAAATAATACATAAAAAAGAAACAAACATAAAACAGTTTTACTCTTATAGCATAGTACCTTGAATAGTATTCTTGGGCTCCAAAATCACTGTGGATGGTGACTGCAGTCACGAAATTAGAGAATAGCTATGACAAACCTAGACAGTGTATTAAAAAGGAGAGATACCACTTTGCTGACAAAGGTCTGTATAGTCAAAGCTACAATTTTTGCAGTGGTCATGTATGGATGTGAGAGTTGGACTATAAAGAAGGCTGAGCACCAAAGAATTGATGCTTTCCGGCTGTGGTGCTGCAGAAGACTCTTGAGAGTCTCTTGGACAGCAAGGAGATCAAACCAGTCAATCCTAAAGGATATCAGTCCTGAACATTTACGAGAAGGACTAATGCTGAAGCTGAAACTCAATACTTTGTCTACCTGATGTGAAGCGTGACTCATTGGAAAAGACCCTGATGCAGAGGATGACTGAGGGCAGGAGAGGAGCATCACCAACTCGATGGATGTGAGATGGAGCAGACTCAGGGAGAGAGTGAAGGGCAGGGAAGCCTGGTGTGCTGCTGTCCGCAGGGCTGCAGAGAGTTGAGCGTGACTTAGCGGCTGAACTACAACCTAGAACAGTGCCAAAGTCCAGGACAGCAGCTGGCACGCGGGGGCTGGCACTGAGTGAACAGCCAAGCAGAGTGATTGACTGGAGGGGGGAAAGGAGGTGGGAGATGGTTTGTCCGGAGGAGACTTGTAAGAGAGGCATGCACGTGACAGTGCGCACCAGACCTGCAAACCAACTTATGTGATTGGACTTGGAGAATGCATCTTTGAAAGCTTGTAACTTGAAGATTCTTGGTAGGGGACTTACTGTATCTGCATTTTGAAAGAAGGATACATGTCCTAAAATCAAACAGAAGGTGCTGGGCTTTCACTGGGGCAGCTTGAAACTGTGGGATGATTAGGGGTCAGACCTGTCTTAGAACCCTGGTTCTGTCACTGCATGTGACTTGGGCCAGTGGCTATACATCTCTGTGCCTCAGTTTTGTAATCTGTGAAATGTGGCGATAGATAATACACGACCAGCAGTGTCTGGAGGAGGACTGAATGAAGTTGGCCGACACATGGGTTTGGAGGCATGTGCTTTATACAAGGTGACTTTTTTGATGATTGTTACCAACAAAATTGCAACCACCCTGAATGCCTGTCCTTATTTAGTACACAATGGGCTTCCCTGTAACTCAGTGGTAAAGCATCCGCCTGCCAATGCAGGAGATGCGGGTTCTATCCCTGGGTCAGGAAGATACTCCCGGGGAAGGTAATGACTACCCACGCCAGTATTCTTGCTTGCGAAATTCCATGGACAGAGGAGCCTGGTGGGCTACAGTCCATGGGGTCACAAAAAGAGTCAGACATGAGTTACTGACTAAACAACAGCAACAATAACCCTGCTCCAAATTTCAGATTCTGAAGACACACTCTCACATACTTAACTGACTGGATGAGAATGCATCCGGCTGAATGAAGGAGAAGCAAACCCACAAAAAGAAATCCCCACAAACTGTCTTCTGGAATGACCACGCCGTAGCCTCCCGAGGTCGCCTGACCCCCTCCGAGTCTGAAACAAGCGCGCCCGCTCCACAGGGAGCCCAGGGCCCTTTCCGGACGAAACAGGGCCCCAGACAAAAAGTTAAGTGGATTTAAATGTAAGCAGGTCTAAAAAGAAAGCAAAGTTTCCTTTTAGAAGCTTAAGAAAACAATTAGAAATAAAAGGAGGCCAGAAAGCACAGTTAATGAAGGAGCCTGAGAAGCAAAGATGATGGGGAAATTCACCCGCTTTACAAATACTTCTGCAAAGGCGAGACAGAGGGACCCCACCCAGAGCTCTTCTGACCTTGCCCTTGACTCACTGGGCTCTCACAGCTCACATCCTCCCTCCTGGGGAGCTTAAAGTCGCCGCGCCACGGAAATGTTTGCTCTGACTGCCTCTGGAGCAGAAGACACCGCTCCTGGCGGCCTGGGTGGCCCTGTCTCTGGGGCTCCGAGGACCTGCCAGGCCAGGAGGAGGCTCTCTTCTTGTCTGCCGAGCAGGAGTCGTCCATGGGAAGCTTGCTCCTCTTTAGGCAGAAAGGGTGCCTGATGCTTTCCTTGGGACAGGGATGTCACACTGGATTCCTGGCCGTCCACAGCATATTAAACATTTTCGTACCGGCCGTAGCCAATTGACATCTAAGCAGCGTGGCTCTCATCTCTTGGGAAGCACACATGGTAGGAGACAGCAGAGAGGTGGTTGATGGCAGGTGGCTTTCTCATTGATGAGGCCCTGGTGTCCTTGGTTGTTTATTCTTGGTTGGATCCAGCCCCGCCCCTCCGGGGGCCCTTGCCGGGCACTAGACCACCTTGACCTCAGAGGGTCACATGTGGACCCCCCTGCGTCATCACTCTTGGTTTAAGTCATCGGAGATGTGAGCTCCTTGAAGGCAGGGCCTGGGTATCGTGGCACAGGCCCTGGCCACAATGGATGCTTCCTTGCACTTCCTGAGCGAACCATAGAGGAATCTGGGCTCTCGCTCCAGGGGGTAAGCAAATGCCCTTCCAGAATCTTCCAAAGAGTCTGAGAAGCAAAGGCAAGCTGGTTTCTCACCCTGTTTTCTTCTTGCCTTGCCAGCGTTTGTGGCTGTGGCTTTCACGACTGTGCCAAGCGTGGCCTCCGGGGGCTGGCAAGCACCCTGGTGTCCTGGCCAGTTCTGTGCTGTTGGGCAATGTGTAGCCTCTTCAGCCTCATATGAGTCCTCCACGCATCACCCATCGCCCGGATCTCAGCTCCTGGCTTCCCAGGGCCAACCCTGTCTTCTGATCGCTCTGCTCTGGGATCCTGGCATCTAGCCGTGTCAACAAAGGTGAGGGATGGGTGACCGTGACAGCCCTCCACCTCCCAGACCCTCTGCCGTACCAAAGGGATCCCGGGATCTTCCACTCCACGATGACAAAGCGTTTTGCAAATATGGATTGCCAACTCGATTTAATGCAGGAGAGCCCGAGACCCGCGCAGACAGGCTGGCCGTAGCTGTAGCGTTCCTTAGCCAGTAGGCCGGGAGGAAAACTGATGTCAGTGGCTCTCTGTGTTGAAGTCTTCACATCACTCTCTGCTCTGGAGAAGGGGGAGGACCAGGAAACTGAGTTCACCGACATGAGGCAGGCTTTGTAGGACTGCCGCTCCATGACCCCTGACAAATGGATGTATTCATTACACTGAAGACGGGAAGGAACCACAACATGGATACATATTTAGGGAAATATGCACACAACTCAGTTTATTTTTCTTATCTGATATTTTTTTTCTAGTGCAACATGAGTCCTGTTGAATACTTGGCAGCCGCCTTTCCATAGTTGAGTTGTTTGTCATTTCTGGGGCTGCTGATGCTGTTATGATCTCCCTTTTGGGAGAAATTTACAGGCACATGTTGACCCAGCTGAATGGGAACAGGGAGCAACAGGAATCTCAGGAACAAGGACCATCGCCGACCAGAGAGGGTGAATCCGCTCCTTCTCTGGACGGCGCCCTCCGGTGAGCCGCTCAGCGCCCCGTCGGGCCGGCCACGGAAGGCGCCGTGACTCCAGCGCTAGAAACCCAGATCCCCTCTCAGCCTGGCCTTGAAATAAACGTGCCTTTCCTTTCAGTCCTTTCTGGGAGTTGTAGTCAGCCATGTGCTTTGTTGTTGGGCTCTCAGGAGAGTCGGCTCTCTGTAGCAGCTGTTGCTAGGTAAGGCATGGTTTCCTGGAGAAGGCGTGGGAGACGATAGGAGGGCTGCTGGCAGGGGGCCAGGCGGCCGTGGGAGGGGACGCCGCAGAGGCCGCGGGGAAGGATGGAGGCAGGACCCTGGCTGCCCTCCACGCCCCGGCCCTGCCACTGTCTTCTCCTGCCTTCCCAAGTCCCCTCTGGCCCACCTCACCCTCGAAAGACCTAGCCTGTGTCTCCTTCTCACAGAGACATCTGAGCACTCATTTGCCATGTCTCCTGGACCCTCCAACCCACCAGGGCCTGGTGGTCCAGAGATGAACTGGTGGTGGGCTCCACCGTACAGGGGCTCAGAGCCCTTTGGGACAGGCAGGCCCCATGAGCGATCAGCCACAAACCCGCCCCCCACAGGGACAGCGGATGCTGTGGGCACCTTGCCCGTATCCCACATCCGCCCCAGTGGTCACCTGCTGGGCACAGTGACCGCCTCCTGGGTCTTTTAACCTGAGCACCTTTTCTGGCTATGCAAGTTAACTCTTCAGGAAAGTGAAAGAAAGTGAAGTCGTCAGTCATGTCCAGCTCTTTGCGACCCCATGGGCTGTAGCCTACCAGTTCCTCCATCCATGAAATTTTCCAGCCAAGAGTACTGGAGTGGGTTGCCATTTCCTTCTCCAGGGGATCTTCCCGACCCAGGGATTGAACCTGGGTCTCCCGCATTGCAGGCAGACCCTTTACCATCTGAGCCACCAGGGAAGTCCAGAGACCCTCAATCACCAAAGGTTGGGAGTCAATTGGACAAGTCTGAAAAAGAGTTAAAATGGTAAATTTTATATTTGGAATATGTTACCATCATAGAACAAAATGGCACAGTACTGATAAAACAGGTCATTGGCAAAGCCCTGCGGAATTGCACAGGGACCTTTACTCAATATTCCGTTATAGTCTGTATGGGAAAGGATCTGAAAAAGAGTGGATGCACACATAGATAAAACACGGAATCTCTTTCCTGCACATCTGAAACTAATGCATGCGTGCGTGCTAAGTCACGTCCGTCGTGTCCGACTCTTTGTGACCCTGAGGACTGTAGCCCGCCAGGCCCCTCCGTTCATGGGATTCTCCCGGCGAGAATACTAGAGTGGGTTGCCGTTTCCTTCTTCAGTGGATCTTCCCGACCCAAGGATTGAGCCAGAGTCTCCTCCATTGCAGGCAGATTCTGTACGGTCTGAGCCACCGGGGAAGCCTTAATAATTTATTATTATCATGGATTCTCATTAATTGTTTTATTATTGACATAAAGCAGTAGTATTTTAGGTATGCTGGGTTAAAAATATATTAATACTACAATTAACTTTATTGTTTCATTTTTTAAAGTGGTTACTAGAAATTTTTGTTTTTTATTCTATTTTTTTTAAAACCTGTTTTCACTTTTATTCTTTTTTTACAAGAATTTTTTTTGGCATTTGGTTGCTTTACAATGATGTATTAATTTCTACTGCACAGTAAACTGAATCAGCTCTACATATACATATATGCCCTCTTTTTTTGGATTTCCTTCCCCTTTAGGTCACTACAGAGTATTGGGTAGAGTTATACATTATTGATACTATACATAAAATAGATAACTGATGAGAAAAGCAAGGCTTTAAACTGAAAGAGAAACTTACTAGAGAAATGAAAGTCGCGCCAGATTATTGACCTGTGTGATTGCACTGCCTCTTTTCCTCCAGATTTCCGTATAACCTTTAAATCCTGTTCCTGCCCATGCCTTGGTCCCCTCAGATTGGCCGTAAGTTGTACACAGGCTGCTTTTGTAAGACGGTGAGAACTATTGCCGATATTTTAAATGGCTGACTCAGAACTTTCCCCTCTTCCTTTCTCCTAAACACATTATTTTCAGGAAATCTATGTTGTAAGACAGGACTCTGCAATTACAGTCTTGGGGCCAAACCCCTCCCTCAGCCTGTTCTTGTAAATAAAGTTTTATTGGCAGTCTGCCAGGCCTGTTCATTTCGATGTTGCCCGTGGCTGCTCCGGGGGTTCCATGGCAGAGTCCACTCCTTGCAACAGAGACCATGGGGCCCGCAAAGCTGAAAATATTTTCTATCTGACCCTTTGCAGAAAATGTTGCCAACATTCTGTCGTAAGAGATACTGAAATGTTTTAATTCTTTGAGGACTGGGATGCATAATTAGTTTTTTTTAGTTTCAGCATGTTAAAAGGAGGAAAACCTATTTACTATTATATGCTCTGTAGGGGTCATGAAATACTGTCTTATAATTTCCATTATTTTAATGAGTATCAGCCAGCGTATTAGCAAAACGTAAGAGAGAATCTAAAAGAGAGTGAAGTATTCCATCAGGTTTCTCCCAACCTAACAGCTCAAATATAGACCATTGTGTGAAATTAGCATATTGACAGATCTTTGGCAATTTTATCTGCCTCCCTAAAAGTTTATTTATTTGTATTTTGGGGGAGGGATCTTTTTGTTTGAAATTCTTCCTAAATTCAGACACCTCGGTGTAATCAGTTATACAGTTTTGGTTCTGTTCTTACGTACTTCTAGCCAAAATGCCATCACTTAACTCTTGTTGAGCCTTCAAGGAACAGACAGGGTTCAGATAGAGCCTCTCCACCGGCCGTGTGTGCATGTGTGCTCAGTCGTGTCCACCTCTTTGTGACCACATGAGCTGGAGCCCGCCAGGCTCCTCTGTCCATGGGATGTCCCAGGCAAGAATCCTGGAGTGGGTTGCCATTTCCTCCTCCAGGGGGTCTTCCCCACCCAGGGATTGAACCCGTGTCTCTTGTGTCTCCTGCGTTAGCAGCTGAGTTCTCTACCACTGGTGCTACATGGGAAGCCATTCTCCATAATTTTCTGTTTAAAAAAAGTCTCATGTGATTTTTAATCAACTGGACCAGGGTTTCTCAGCTGCAGCACCGCTGACATTTAGGATCAGATGATTCTTTGTTTGTGGGGGGGGTGGGGAGCACTGTCCTATACCTTCTAGGATTTTTATCAGCAGCCCTGGGCTCCATCCATTAGATGCCAGTAGTGAACATGACCTTCTCCACCTGCCCCAATCATCACATCCCAAGCCGTCTGCATTCGCGCGTGCTAAGTCGCTTCAGTCTTGTCCGACTCTTTGTGACTGTATGGACCATAGCCCGTCAGACTCCCAGGCCCTCCGCCCATAGGATTCTCTGGGCATGAATACTGGAGTGAGTGGCCATGTCCTCCTCCAGGGGCTCACCCTGACCCAGGAATGGAGCCCGCATCTCTGACATCTCCTGCATTGGCAGGTGGGTTCTTTACCACTGGCACCGCCTGGGAAGCCCCAAGCTGTCTGCACGTGTTGCCAGATGTCCCCTAAGAGCCAGTCCCCACAGGGAGAGGCCAGATGGATGCTCTTTTCCAGGAGAGTGAGTGCATGTGCCTCTGAAAACTGGTGCTGTGGGGAGGAGCCAGAAGCTCCGTAGTCCGCTCTGCTCTGGACCTGGAGTCCTGTGAGCGGTGAGGTCTTGATGGAACTCTCACCTGGCCTGAGCCCCACCTCGCTCTCCACCAGGGGAGGAGGCAGTTCCTCTCAGTTGCCTCTCCAACCAGAGCTCTGGGAAGGACAAGCATCTCTTCAGTTCAAAGCCGTTGTTCTCAAATATTCTTTATTTCGAGGTGTGCATTTCTTATTTGATGGAGAAACCCCAATAAATACACACTGATACCTGAAAAACAGAATTTTTATTTAAAAAATTTTAGTGGAGCGAGCATAGTTGATTTACAATGTTGTGTTAGTTTCAAGTGTACAGAAAAGTGAATCAGTTACATGTAAACATGTATCCAATCTTTCTTGGATTCTTTTCCCATTTAGGTCATTGTGGAGTATTGAGAAGAGTTCCCTGTGCTATACAGCCGGTTCTTATTAGTTATCTGTTTTATGTAGAGGAGGGTGTATATGTCAGTCCCAATCTCCTAATTTATCCCTTCCTCCCTCTTCTCCCTACTTTGAAAAAATAGAGTTTTGAAAAATTGGAGATACTTTTAAAAGGAACAAGTTGATCTGCAGTAAAAAAAAAAAAAAAAAGTGAATCAACTTTGGGGAACAATATTTGACTAGACAAGCAAGTGAAAGGCTGGAAGTCTTCCGAGAGAACTGATAATTAAATGAATCTCAGAAACTTTATTTCCCTCCAAGTGCGTTTTATGTAATTTTCTAACATGGAAACAACAGCTCTTCTCCTGGCTAGAGAAAAAAAAAAAAAATCGGTCCCCACCTCACAATCAACAGAATCGTGGTTTTGACTAATCTCTATAATCAGAAGATAATTTGCCTTAAGAATAATAATAGTAACAATATGCCTGTTATGAAAGAGGATGCTTTTATCATCTTATTTGCCAGCGATTATGTAAATCGCAGATATAGGGTGGAGGGCAGGAAAGCTGCAGAAAGCTAGCCTGCGTTTTCTGTGGGAGCCATGGGCCTTCTGCTAGGAGAGAGCGCCAGATTTCACCCCCTGTGAAAAGGATTTATTTTCTGCAGACTGGCTAAAACATTTGATAGTTTAAATACAATGTGTTGGAAGGAGAGCAGAGCAGAGAGCACGTTTCTGCTTTCTGCTTTCTGCTTTCCTTCCCCTGAGACTTGGAGCATCACTAAATGTTCCCTGTCTCGTGCTTGGATGGACCCGTTGCAGGAATTTCCCAGTCTCCACCTTTCCCACTCCCATCGCAGCCTTTCCTCTCCAGTGACACAAACCTCTTCAGGGTCCTGACTCAGAGGCTTTGCTTTTTGCCCCTTCTTCTGGGAAGCCAGGTTCTGACCACCTCCTGCGTCAGCTGGACAGGTGTTCTTGGATGTGTTACCATCTGCTGTCTCTGGGCTCCAGTGTTGTTATCCCCAGAACCAGAAGACTGGGTTCGAGTCCCAGGTGCCCAGACAGATTTGCTACCCTAGAGGCTGTGGTCCTGGGAGCCTGCAGGGTGAGCGGCAGCGGGGCAGAGGCCGTCTGGGGTTTCCATGGAAGGAACATTCAGATTGTTGTTCAGTTGCTAAGTCAGGTCCGACTCTTTGCGACCCGCAGCCCGCAGAGGACCGCAGCCCGCCAGGCTTCCCTGTCCTGCACTCTCCCAGGGTTTTCTCAAGCTCATGTCCATTGAGTCAGTGATACCATCCAACCGTCTCATCCTCTGTCACTCACTTCTCTTCCTGCCCTCAGTCTCTCCCAGCAGCAGGGTCTTTTCCAGTGAGTCGGCTCTTCGCATCAGGTGGCTAAGTATTGGAGCTGCAGCTTCAACATCAGTGAATGTTCCCATGAATATTCAGGGTTGATTTCCTTTAGAGTTGACTGGTTGGATCTCCTTGCAGTCCAAGGGACTCTCAAGAGTCTTCTCTGGCACCACAGCTCGAAAGGGTCAATTCTTTGACACTCAGCTTTCTTTATGGTCCAACTCTCACATCCATACAAGACTGCTGGAAAAACCACAGCTTTGATCACATGGACTTTTGTTGGTAAAGTAATGTCTCTGCTTTTTAATATGCTGTCTTGGTTTGTCATAGCTTTCCTTCCAAGGAGCCAGTGTCTTTTAATTTCATGGCTGCAGTCACTGTCTGCAGTGATTTTGGAGCCCAAGAAAATAAAGTCTGTCACTGTTTCCATTGTTTCCACGTCTATTTGCCATGAAGTGATGGGACTCAATGCCATGATCTTAGAATGTTGAGTTTTAAGCCAACTTTTTCTCTCTCCTC